TAAACGTTTGAAATTCAATTTTTGTTTATAATTAATAACTCTATAAAATGGCTATTCAAAGCCAAAAGAGTTTAAAACATTAACATATATAAACAATTATAACCATACAGATTCAATGTTGAAAATATGTCAAATTACACATAAGTTTTGAAAATTAATTTAAATAAATATATAAATAAATAAATAAATAATGTGGTACTGTTATTTCTTATATATGAGGTATCAATAAAAAGTTACAGATATTAAATAAAATAAGCTGCAAAAAGTTATATTCAAAAATTAAATACGAAATAAGAATGTTTTTTTGCAGAATGATCCACGGAAAAAGAAACACTGATTTTAATCTACGGGAGACACCTCAACTGTCATACGTCAGTCCCCTCTCCTCCGTCTTTATAACCAATACAATTTAAATAGGGAAAGTACCAAGTATGACATCATTGAAAAGACAATGTTTTTGTTATTTTAGCTCCATCTAACGTAAAATTGTTTTTCTTTTCTGTATGTCAAATGGAACTATCAATCATCTGTAAGTCGCCCAGGAGTGCACAAACAAATAATAATAGCCGTTCTACTTTCAGAGATTCAGGGTAATAAATAATAATTATAGGGAGTGTCAAATATACAAGTAGCGACATCTATTCGCACAATGGCAAATCTAATTTTTAGTTCGTTTATTTTTGTAGAGGTTGGTTAACATGTCTATCATAAGTGTCAATTTTTTTCATATATATGTCATATGTCTTGAGTGTGTAATAATTGTAAAAGTTACTCGCATAATAAAATAAAACATAAGTTTAAAGTCTTTTTCGATTCTATACCTCCACTGCGACACTAAAATTACTAGAGGGAGAGTATTATTATTGTTGTGACACCTCATATCCAACCTAAAGTTCACCTAAACCTAAAGTTCAATTAACCACATAACATTATCTTAACTAATAGTGGATTTTATTTGTTGTACTAGGTGTAAGTTTTCTGCACTAATCGCATTTGATTTGTTCAGTGTAGCTTCAAATAAATGACACATATTTGAGTGTGTAGCATATACTTTTGACAAGTATGACAGTTCAAATACAGTGTCAAGTGTGATACTAGTGCAACAAATAAAATTCATTATAAATTAAAAAATATTGAACTAACTTAATTTTTTACAGGTGCAATATGGAAGAGATATTTAGGAATTTAAGGTGTACCTTTGCAATAAAAATCGACAAACGTTACAGAATTTTTGAAGTTATTCAGTCTACTTCTATTTCGGTGGATCATACAGTAGTTTGTTTCGTTTTTCCTGAAATTACTTTATTATTTTCAGTAACTTTTTATTGGGATACTACGTAGTGTTCGATATGATTCAGTTACAACCAACGTTGAAGAATCCAGGACTACAGTTTTTAGAGAGACATCTTTACTTAGATTTCACAATAGTCCCGAATTTTTCCTTACAGATTAATAACAAATCTCAACTATTTCGAGTTTTTGTTATTCAGTTTGACAACATTTGAATTGGTTAACTGTTTTGGCAATCTTTTTAAACAGTATTTCACCAGTACTGTAAAACTATACACTGTCAACATCATCAGGATTCCAATAAATTAATTATAGTCTCCTAACGATGACGAAAAAAAAAACGCGTCAATCATTACATTCATTGAATGGTTCAGCGCCAGAGTTGTCTAACCAACAATTCAGTAAAAGTGAGTAAATTGAGATCAAAGTACTGTGTCTACTAGACGGAACTGCCTAATCTTTAGGTATGGATATTGGCACCGAAAGCGAATAATTTTAAGAATTAGGCAACTTTGACACGCACAGAAATTATTTTAGAATAATATTATGATAAAAGGTTGTTTTGAAATTTTGTTGATTTGGCAACTCTGGCACTGAGCCACTCAATTTTGGTGTAATCCGTTTTCTTAGAGAAAAATACAGAGGCGTCATTGATGACGGCAGTCGCAGAAACCACATTTTGACATATATACCTAGCAACGCTTAGCAACGATCACCTCAGTGGCACGCCACGATTGATAATAGATCTTTTCCATTGTATCGAAAGTGTAGCACTAAGCTACGTCTCTTCTGAAACTATCGTTCCATCCATACAATTTGTATAAATGGAACGATATTTTCAGAAGTGGTGTAGCTCAGTGCTACAGTTTCGATGCAAAGAAAAAGACCTAATTCGTAAACGTTTATCAATGCCGTTTAGAAAAGGTAGGCGGCCATCTTTTTATTTGTCTTTGAAGTTTGATGTAGTGTTTAGAAGTTTATTTGTAAAATATTTGCGATTTTTGAATATTTTAAGGCGCTAGTTTATTTAGAAGTTAGTGCTATGTGTTTTATATAAATAATTGTTGTATGCTTTCTTTCTGTGGCAGCCTTAGTGAAAAGTAAAGGTTAAACTGACCCTGCCTAAGTACCTGACGTCTTCGCGGTTACCAGACGTTGAGTTTATTTATACGTATTGTCATTATTTTCTGTCATAACATTACTTTTATAACATTAAACATGCTCCCATCATTAATAGTAATTCATTCAAGATAGCATCTCGTAAAACAGATCCTACAACTGAGGGTGACGTGTGTGTCGATATAAGGAGTAGTATGTGCAACGCACTACAATACATAAAACCATGCCTCCTAAAAAACTTATTCGTATTATTAGTGTTGACTGGTATTGAAACTGGTGTATTTCATGTTTTGGTATTATTTTACATTTTTTTTATTTCAGTATCAGATGATCTTCATCTTCTCACCATAATATGTAATGATTATTTAAAAATTATAGCATTGTTCAATGGTTTTTCCCAGTGTACGAAGCAGTAATTATACTTTTAGGTCAAGAGAAGACATAGCTTGTAGCTCAACTGCGCCTATTTGTACAATTTATTTATCCGAGATGCTATCAGATAGAAAGCAATATGTCCGTCTGTAGATACACAATTTTGTTTACCATCATTGTTTTATGCGAGACAAACGTGATTTGTTGTGTAAACAATAAAAATTTGGACCAGTTTTGTGTTAGTTACTTTTGCGTAATCATTATGTATATTCAACAGTTTTCTCGTCATGTTTCCTTGTTAAGTCGTTAGCTTGTTGGTAAAAATACTGTTTTAAAAACATGCCTACCACCTGTAGTAGTGTATAAAAAGACATAAACGAATTTTCGAAAACAAAAGACGCCATAAATGGATACAAAAGTCATCAGAAGAAATCCCATAGAGCAAAATTTGTGTGATAGGTAAGGTAAAGCAACTTTATCAGAAAAACTTTTAGAAATGGGCTGTTACTTTAAAAAGATCTCTAAGAAAGATTATTGTAGGTACCTGAAGATAGTTCAGAAGTATGACAATTTGATTATATGTTTTATTAATAATCGTTTAATTTTGTAGATTGTCCCTAATGAATTTGAAGTCATAGAAATATGCCCTACAAGTGCTAGATATACTGATAAACAGTGTCAGACTGATGTAACAGCTGAGGATTTTACTCAAATGATGGTATCGCTTGCAAAAAATTGAAGTTAAACTTAAATTAACTTAAAAATAAATATTTCACTGCTCGAAATTAATTTAAAAAACTAAATATTTGTGTCTATGTTAGGTATGTGCCTATATCATAAAGACTAAATTAAATATTAACCGATATACCCATTAGATAATTTTCAAACTTTTGACTTTATCATTTTATTGTGCCCATTATATTGTTTAGTATTCATTCTATTATTGTTTTAGCAGTACTGTGTAATATATTAATAAAATAAAACATTTTGGTTAACTTGTTTTATTTACCAATAAAAGGTATTTTATGAAATAAAATTATTAAGAATTTTATTTGACATGTGTGACAAATGTGAAAATTATTAAATTTACAATATAACTAAAAAACAGAAGGTAATATTTAATATATTGTTACACGAAAATCAATGGATAACCTGATAATTGTTCAAAAGTAAGCTCAAAATAGAAAGGAAGGGGGGTGGGTGGCTCAGTGGTAGAGTCTCTGCCTGCGGATCCAAGGGTCCCAGGTTCGAATCCCACAGTTGGCCAGGATTTTTTAAATTTATTTATTTAAAATTAATTCTGATGCCTTGGTAGGATTCCCCACTCGGCCATTCACTGTTGGATTCTAGTTAACAGTGCTGTTCCTAAAGTGGCGCTGGGAAACAGTAACAAAGCCTGTACAGAACACGAGGCTAATAACCTTAGTAGTTGATGCCGATGACACCAAAATAAAAAAAAAAGAAAGAAAAATCAGCTGAATATAACTAAGAATGTTTATAGATGGGTTTCAAAGTATTAAAAATAAAAGAAATATTGCAATAACTAAAATATTCGCTTTTTAACCTAACAAAACACCAATAATCCTATTTTCTTCAATGTAAATCGTATATGTGTGTCTCTACAGGCGACCATTTTTAAACGGCGAGAGTTACGTATTCTGGAAAGCCTAATTTATTATTTTTATTACTAGGATTATTTGAATAAACCATTTTACGTGGTGTTGCTGATTCTTCCCAATTATTTATTATTTAAAATAAATAATTAATTCATTATTGTTTTTTGACTTTTATTAATAGCTAAATAATACAGTAGTAAAAATTGAAAGTTTGCAAATCGAAATTTTTAAAATTTTATATTTCTTGTATGAAAACGTTTAATGATTGACCAAAACGGTTTCAAAGTTAATATTTTTTAAACATTCGAATGATGAAAAAAAATAGTAAATAATAATCTAAAAATTGTATTTTGGAACACCTTGCCAACATTAAATGAAAAACTACGATTTAATTGGTTTCAGATTCTAAACCAATTAAATACCTCACACCCTAAATAGGTATGATACTTTATTGAAACCAATTCGCCGAGGATAATGTAAAATGTATAATAAATATGGATGGTGTTTCATTTATAATAATAAAGTTGGCAATGACAATTTATTCATTAATAAAACTTCTTGACAAAACCCCGTGCACATATATTCGAATTTCAAATTGCATACCTTTTTGAGAAACGTCTAATCCAAACTATCCAATCACTCCAGAATGTAGGTTTTTTAGCCTCTATTATGTTACTCGGAAGAATTTAAACACAACTATATCTATCAAAAATAAAAAAAAAATATTTTATAAAGTATAAATGTGAAATCGTTACGCCACTGATTTATCACATCAATATGGCGCTGCCGCATACCGTTGTGACGTAGCTGTACTTTCCTCTAACGTAACAGACTTTAACATACTCTTAATTTTAATTCAGCAATTTTTTAAATGTTTAATTAGATGAAAATTATATGTTTTCACTCGTCCCAACGAACAGTGCTTAATATTTTCAACTGAAACAACTTCTAGCTTAATTATATGCATTTTTTTTTTATATTTACAATATGCAAAATATGCATAAATAAATTATTTTGAATAAAAATTATTTTATTTAAAAACTATATCACAAGGGAAGCAATTTACTTTAAAAAAAATGCTACATCTTAAGTTTTTACAGATTCAAAAATACCTCACTAAAAGAATTATTATGTACGTTTATGAAATATTGCAAGGATGTTTAGTTCAACTTTTTCTAACATAAGTCCAAAATTATATACCTAATGTGTTCCTTAAAAGATTTAGGAACAGTAATGAAATTTTGATAGTAATACAAAAATTTTGTAAATAAAAACTAGCGTTTAGAAGTTGCATCTTATGCCATAAAGAAATTTAAAAATATGCAAAGCGAGTGAGTTTATATAAATGTATTTAATTACATAAATTATTTATTTACATATACTGGGTGTCATAAAAAATAATGAGTTCACTAGAGGAATGTATAGATAACATTATTTACAATAATTAATACTTATAGAGTTATTCCTAAAGTCTGGAACAGATAATTAATTATATTATTAGTATTTACGTATTTTTTGACCTTGAACAAAATTATTAGCAACGGGGTGTTAAAGGACAATGCACATTTCTTATGGGAAAATGGCTTTTCATCGAATTTTCTAAAATATTGATAAGTTGTAAAACTCGGTACTCTGACAAAAAGTGTCACTTTTGCCAAACTAATCCTATCACTAATTTTCGAGGTACAAACATCGGAAGTTGTACTTTTTTTTTCTCATTTCTCATTACAGACCATTTTATTCGCGTTTTTGTAGAAAATATGAATTATAGATTATTTGGTATTCATATTTTATAAACAGTTACTGTAGAAATTGGTTAATTACAGAGTGGTTCGAAAATAAGTACCATGAAAATATAGTTTAAGTAATTGCTTCATGGTGATGCCCCAATATAATTAAAAATACAGTCGGCTCCTTTGACGTCGGAGTGATCAGATTTTTATTGACAGTTGACGTTTTTGTCGCTTATTTCTACACTGAGAAAAGTAACTTCGAAATATATTGTCCCTTTGTCTATTTGGATAAAGTATCACACAATAAATGAAAGAACAAAACTAAGTCTAAGTATAATAAAAATGAATAAAAATAGGCATTACAACCGATCAAATAATCAAAATAATCAACCACTATTAATCAATTGACAATTAACACATGCCAGTTTGACGTATTTGTCATTTATTTACGAGCATGCACAGAAAAATGTGGACCTATCTTAAACAATAAACTGTCATTACTGTATTATTACTTATACTGGGGTGAAGCATCATATTGTACAAAAGATGACTCAAAAATGTGGTTGCAGAGTGCATATAGGTTTTCAGCTTTAAGCGTGAATGTATGGTTTTAAAGTAAATAAATGAAAGAACTGTTGCTCTATGTTATACAGGGTGTTAAACCGATTGCAAACACTTTAAAAAATAGAAAAGCAGTTTTTTGTACAAAATCCTATATTTTAAAAGCTTAAATTCTCGAATTAATCCGACGTGGTTTGACGTTTACACCTCTCTACCTACCAAAAGCTTTTCCAACTTGCCATACACATTTTAGGAAAACTGGTCATATGATTACAACTAAATTTTGCTCAATTAAATTCTAAACTTTTATTAATGTAAAAATGTAATAATTTATAAACTTTTAAAATACACGATGTTGCACAAAAAACTGCTTTTTTTATTTTTAAAGCTTTTGCAATCGGTTTAACACTTAACACCATGTATAATATAGAGTGACAGGTCGTACATCTATTTAATGTAATACAAACAAATCAGGATACATCTTTTATATCAGGTGACATGTTAAACCTGAAAAACAATATGTCCTCTGTAACCACATTTGTGAGTATAAAATATGGATACATCACCAAGAAGCAATTAAACTGTATTTTCATGGTGCAATGAAATTTGTTCCTATTTTTAACGCTGTCATCAAAATGATTTTTTTCGAAAACCATATTACTTAATTCCAATTCACCCTGTAATTAACCTATGTCTACAGTAATTTTATATAAAATATTATTGCCAAATAATCTATAATTCATGTTTTATACAACAAACGTGAATATAACAGGTTTATGAGAAATCTGTTCACAAAAAAAGTGTCATTTCAGATTTTTAACACCCTGTATCTCGAAAACTAGTCATAAAATCGGTTTGGATCAATAAACACTTTTTATCAGCAAAGAGTTCTACAACAAATTAACATTTTAGAAAATTTAACAGAAAGCCATTTTGAATAAGAATGGTGCCGGATCCGTATGGTGGATTAATTAAGACAACATTTTATGTCATAAATAAATAATTCAACGGTTAATACCCATTATGTGACGTTCTTAAAATCGCTGTTTACATAAGGGAATAATTTCTATATCTGTATTATTTCTAATACAAGCCTTACAAATTATTAAATGCATTAAATATAAGTAAACATTTATTTCCCATTTGCATATCCTTATATGTGTGTGTCTTGAAAAAATATTGATTTGTAAATGTTTTACTCTAAATAATCAAAATATGAAATTTAATCCGTATGTGAAAGAAACACATTATTTTCAAGGACACCCTGTATATGAATAAAAAGTTCATTGACCCATTAAGCTATTATGTAGTTTATGTGAATAAAAATACATTGTATTCAAACATATTTTAGCTGTGTTATAAGCAGATACTATTTATTTAAAATAGTAGAATGTTTTAATAGTGTAAAATGTTTATTTGACTTGTATCTCACAGCATTCTAATGGTATTGCATGTAATTGAAAAAAATTATTGTTTGATATTTACGTTGTATATCTTATCCAATTTAATAAATTACCATTAAAAGACCTCACTTAATTTGCACTTACGATATTGATGTATCAGCCAATATTATTTTTTCTAAGGCATTATTTAATTCTCGAGACTTGAAATTTATAAAATCTACTTTGATAACCGTAAATAATTACAAAAAAAAAACATCTAATGAGATGAATAAATATTTTGTTTCAAATTATTTTTTTTTAATATGTGTACTTTCTATCTTTAAAGATTTATGTTTTATTTAGATCATTTTATTAATCATTTTCTTTACAATAAGCTGAAAGACCGAATTTATTGACTAATATTCAAAATATTACTGTCATTTCAATAACATCGGTAAATTAGTATACATCTCGTCTTATAAAATATTTTTATTTACATTTTTTAATATTCTCCTGTTTTAACACCTACTTTGAAACAGAATATTTCAATAATTTAAAATAACTAAATTTTATCAAGCCCTGGTACCTTGGTTAGGTGATAAATACAAGATGGACCATCATAATTGCTAATCTATTATCGAAATTTTTCAAGATTGTATTTACACTGCAAACCTTTTGATGAAAAAAGCAAATGCAAAATTACCTAAGTTTTAGGCATCCAGAAAAAAATATTTTTGCTTCAAATAAATAAGTTATTTTTATTTATTTTAGTAAATACTTAAAACTTTATACATCTAGACAATCATGATGTACCATCAAGTGCTTAGATTTACCATTTACCTACCAACAATTTTCTTTAACTTCTTTCTGGGCAAGATGTAGAAACAACTCTAGGTACTGAACCCGTGTTAGTAGCACCAGCTAACGCTGTATGGACAACTATGGCTGGTTGTCCAGGTGAAGGAGGATGCAATTCATGTGTTCCTCCAGGAGTAAGAGTGGCCAGCGCAGCCAGTAAGTCATGGTTGATAATGGGCTCCCCTTCCGGTCGAGGCTCCCAATCCACCGGAGGAGAAGCAGGAGGTGAAATGAGAAATTGTTTGTATGGAGCAGGTGGTTGCAAATTAGGGTTTCTTACGGGAGTGACAGGTTGAGCAAAATAACAAGTAATTACTGATTCATTGATTTTGTATTGGTGAAGCTCAATTCTTGCACTTGCAGCTGCTATTGGCGTTTTGAAATTAACTCGTAACCTTCTGAAACTTCTCAGCCACTGGAAGCTAGCATCTGGATCATACCGTCTAAATAAATCTTCTAATTCAAGTTTTTTGTCTGAAAATAATGGGTGAAGACCTAAGCTTGTGTGATAGTATTTAAACTTACTATGTAATCATATAAATTTATTAATTATTATTAAAGAGTTTTGAGCTTAATTGAAAATCTGAAATTAATGCACTTGTTTAATTATGATAATTACCTAGTTTTGCTGAATGAAACAAAAAAGTGAGAACACTCCTTTTTACACAAGTACATAGTGGATATGGCTACTAAAATCAAGTTTACTAGGTATCTATCTAGCATTAATAAATTCTTTTATAAATTCAATATCAGCATTCTTTTTTAATATATACAGGGTGAGCCTATAAGAGAACAGCATCAGAGACAACAGAGACGTGTAACTTAATAGGAAAATTTGTTCTGTGGTCAATTTAAATTACATATATGACTTTCTTTCTCTTTTACATTGATCTTTACATATATTTATCTCTCTCCAATCTTAGAGGTCGCTGATGTTGCTGGTTTTTTGACGTCGACGTATAGATTAGAACTGACAACTGACAATGTTATGAGTGTTGTTATGAACGTGTGCATTTTATTAAAATTAATTTAATTTGGGAACCGTTTATTTTTTTGAGTCTGATTTTGTTGTTTAATTAATTTTTTTTTGGGGGGGGGGGGGAATGTTTATTTTCGCATATAATTTTTTGCTAGAAGCAATTTCTGGAACAAAACTCGCGTTTTGGTACACGTTTCTTTCTAGAGGTAAGTAATTTCCAATTTATTAAGAAAACCACTGTATAATGTGTGTGTTTAATATTATATTACAAAATGGCTATAATTATTTTAGGTGAATTGGAACAGAGATCCATTGTTAGGGCTACTTTTGTTCATTAAGTAGGTAGATGAATGTCTGGACAGCTTTAATGGTAGCACAAAGTTCCCACCTACTAGAAAAGTAAAATGTATGTCGAGTAAAAAATCTCTGCACATGTAGTATTGGCAAAGGACTTTTGAAATGAGTAGAGATTGGCTATTGCTTACATACACCTACCTCTAATAGCCACTCTAGTGGCTATTAGAAGATTGTAGAGTCATTTAAACGAAGAAAAAAAATTAAATCACAAAAGGGCAGAATTTTAAATCAGGATGCATTGGAAAATAAAGGGGACATCAGGTCGGATTTGGATTTTAGAGAGAGATCAATCTCAAGAAAAGTTAATTTATCCTGCAGAACAACCAGTAGTTTAAGTAGGATCTGCTATAACTTTATTAGAAGATTTCTTTGATAATAAATTGTAATATACCAATTGTTTCAAATGAAATTGAAAAAGAGTTAAATTCGAAATTAGATTTTTCTTGGGTAAAATGTTATATTCATTCAAACATCGTAAGGTAATCTATAATTAAGAGAGTATGGAAAATAATATACCCTGGTAAGGGACAACAACAAATTATAAAAATGTATTCATCTTTAAATAGTGTTTATTATTAATATTATTATTTGCTATGTTTGAAAAGTACCTCCTGCTGTAGAGCAGATCGAATAGTTTAGACAACTAGTTGGAAACTGTCCACCTAGTCACCAAAATAGGAGACTAGGAAAACTTTTACATGACTGGGGACACAACAGGAATGCACACACAGACGACATAACAGAGGTAAGCCTTCAGCAACATCCTGTTTAAATGATGATAGTTTATCATTCTTCATTCCCTTTTAGAAGGCATGGCATATAAATCTATTGATCTTGATGACCCTAAGAGGAGTTAGCAGGGGTGTACTGAATGGGTCTAGCAGGTTTCGATCCAGTTTACAGGATGGGAACTTACTCGACTCGGGCCTTATACATTTGTGTGAGTGTATGTGTGTTTGTTTGTTTTGTTTCCATGGTTTCTATTAAAATAAACAGTCATAACATATGGATACCTTTTTGCCAGACTAACCTAAGCGACATTTGATAGTCTGGCAAAAAGGTATCGATATACTCTATACTTTATAAAATATTCGTTACATTATTTTTTAAATATATTATGAATATACAACAACTGTGACTTTCTTTGTAATTTGTCATAAAATGATACGAGGTACTTTCTAAACAAAGCAATTGTAGTTTGTTTTTCTGTACCTTACAAAAATATAATTTATAGAAAAAGAGTTTGGTGTATTATTTTTCCAAGTTTAAATATTTAATAATCAATAGAATTTTCAAGTTTTTCTAGCGAAATTTACAAGAGTAATAATAACTATGTTCACTGCTTATATTAAGCTGATTAAAACTTCCTTTATTAAAATGATTATTTATATGATAAAAAATTTGATGTTATTGGAAGCTTTTTTATTTTTTAATATACAGTGAAACAATAGTTTTTGTTTTTCCTGTAAATTTCTATAGAAAAACTATTTCTTAATCCATGTTTGAATTTCCCGCCTTAAAGCATTAATTTTCCCGCTATTTACTAGTAGCGCCATCATAGACTGATTGTGGTTACAATAGATGATTTCAACGGAAGACATCTTGAAGTTGCAAGGTCATTGGAAGATCTTTACGCCATCTATAAGTTGACATAACAACTAATAAAATAAAAAGAAAACTGTAAATTATTATTTTGGCAATCTGTCTGAAGTTACGGCGGCGTCAGCCTAAATTTCTTCTTTTTTCTTGCCTTCTTTAGTTGTATGGGCTCAGTTTTCACTCTCACTATCGCCAAGATCTGGAATCTAGACCTACATGGCTTGCTACTTCTTGAACTCGGTGGTAGTTATATTAAGTTTACTCATCAAAACTAATGTCATTACTCTGGTTTTTGGGAAAGAGGTGGAAAGACATCATTCGAGAAGTGTTGGGACATTGATCCACACAACATTTCCAGCAACCACTAAAGCAATTAACAAATTAAAAAGAAGTACACACTTAGGGGTTTTTGTAAATATTTATGCATGTAACAACAGAACATAATACATAAAAACAATGATAAATACATCTATTCACTTTGAAATTTAAAGTAGTAAACAAAAGGTGCACACCTACCTTTTAACTTTACTTTTCATCATTTTCTTTGTGTTTCTAAGTTAGTATTTTGAAAATAAATGCAAAAAATAATTCAAAAACAAAACCAGAGATTGTAACTTCAATTTGTTTTGTTTTTACAAATTTTGACATGACACATGACTAAGAAAAAGAAGACTCTGGGACCTGGCACTAAGTAGATAGAGATGGTGAAAAACTGAGCACATACAACTAATGAAGACAAAAAAGAAAAAAATAAATACCGACGCCGTAACCTTAAACAGATTACCAAAATAATAATTTATAGTTTTCTTTTTTATTTTATTAGTTGTTATGTAAACTTATAGATGGCGCAAAGATCTTCCAATGACCTTGCAACTTCAAGATGTCTTCCGTTGAAATCATCTATTAGGCTTTCCAAACAAATGAATTGCCAGTGGGCAGATTTGGTAGATCTGAGGGTTGCGACATACGATGTATTCTATCTACAATACGTAAAATCATGAATAATGGATTACATTTAAATATTTTATATCGAACACTATAAAAATAAACTGCTTGTACATTTTTTTAAAAACTGGCAGGATTGGCGACTGATATTTCGAATAAAAATAGCGTCCAAGATGCAAGACTATGGCGCTACCCCCTTAGATATACGAGACCTTCCCACTGGTAGGTATTGTTTGACAGGTCGTTGGAATGCCTAATTGCTCAAAAAACTTTTACTGAACAAAAAAAAAATACATTGAGTTACACGTCTCGCTGGGTTGTCTCTGGCAGCATCCTTGTGGAATGTTAGAATCAGAAAATATAGTTAATATACAATGGGGAATTCTATTTTTTTTTTATTTCGGAAATTAATTTGGGTTTCATTCATATTTTTTTAAATTCATACATGATTCTGAGAAATTAAAAATTGGAGATAAGAGACAGTAACTGACAGGAGTCATAGGATAATGAAATACTAGTAACTAGACAGGTGCCATTTCTGACTTATTTCTAGTGATAATAATAACTGATTATTGGATTTATAACCATTAAATAATAATCATGTAAAAAGGGTCTTATTTAAACAACATTATTTGAAGTTGAATATTTGTTGATAGTGATTATATTTATTTTCTAAGGGAGGATGCAGTTGCTTCATACACTCTACAGGGTTAGTTTCTAAACTCAGATATGATTGTTTTTGTGAATTTGGCTTATAAATAAAAATACAAGAAATAGTTTTAAGAAGTCAATAATGAGATCATTCATAATTTTGATATCCTGACTTTCACCTAAGTATTTGAGCAGTGTCTTTTAAAGCCAGTTAGAGCCACTTGACACTTCACAATTTTCCTTGCCTGCAAGTAAAATTGCGGCACTTTGTATTGCACATCAACCTACTAATGTTCTTTCAATCAGCTGGTGGAAATAAGCACTGTCAACCAGTTTAAAAATTACTAGCATATACATTACTGTCATTTAACATGGTTATTGTGTTATGTTAGGCATACTAACTCACTGGAGCGTGAAAGAAATATAAATGATGTATGTTTAATTTAATTATTATGGCATGATTTCCATAATTTGCAAGGAATATTGACAAATCTGTTATTGTAGTTCAAGGACTATATACATACTAGAAAGACAGATTAGTGTCATAAGAAACCCACATTTTACTGTGTGGTTAATGACAAATCCAGCAGTACAAACTTGCAAAAACATCGAATAAATAATATTTTGTTTTCAACAGTTTTTGAGGGAATAAACTTAAAAATAAAAACACACCTGTACCTGAATGTGGGGAATTCCACTATCATCTACTAGCTTATAAGGTTATTTACCATAACCAAGTTTCAAGTTGGTGTACCTGTTTAGTGAGTGAAGTTGGCGAATGTTTTGCAATGAATTGGGAAGAGTAATACGTCCAGCAATTTCTCTTGCAGCAAGAAAACTTGTTGCAATTTTACTTAAAGCAAGAAGAATTGTGAACTGTTAAGTGGCTCTTTATACAAAAAATGCCCATAGCTATATTTTGTACAAGTACAAGTGATATGCTAAAATTATAATTCTTCAATTTGTGATTTCAATAATTTTTGGCCAAGATTCTTCAGTTCAATTATTATACTTCATTCTGGGACACATATTTCTATATTTGTTAATTAAATTGTCCTGTAAATTATTTTTTTATGGCCAATAAATGCTGCAATATTATTGTTATTTTAAACAATTACCTTCCAAAAAGATAGAATCTGTACTACTACTACTATAATACTAATCCTCTACTGTATCTTCCCAACTACATACTTTTAATGAAGCATTAAGATCACTAAGATAAGTTTACCTTGAGATGCAAATACTGAATCATGTATATTGGTAACTATAAGGGATGCTGGTAAATCTTCAAATTCATCATCAGAGTTATGGTCTGGACTATCAATTTCAGCTTCTGCTATCAAATTTGGATGCACGTTAGGGAGTCCATCCTGGTCATTAATAATAATATCGTCTTCACTTAATTCACCATTACTTTCTGCCATTATTTTAAGATATGTGGGTATGCTACAAAAACATTTTGAATTTTACCGACATATTTTCTAGTGTTTACTACTATAACAGAAAATATCAATTATACTTACCTTTTACTAAATGCGTGGTCGTATTTCGATTAATAAAAGTTCTTCAACAAATAAACTGTGTGATTTAAATTAATTAATATCAAAAACAACAAAAACACTTCCAATCTCTCACCTACCAAATGTCAAATGGTCATAATCAACGATCATCTAGTTAAATAGACGACTAACCACAGAACACTTACTCTCTAGTCTCTACTAACTAAACATAAACAAGATAGCTTGACAAGAATGGCTGTTCTATAAGGCCCGATTTCACCGTTGTGTTAAACGAAGTATAAATTACTAAACGAAGATTAAAATTATATTTTTACATTAACCATGTCATTTTAGTTTACGTTATCCGTAACGTACATGTTAGGCCGAGTTTTAACATTAACGAGGCAAATTCATATGATGGAAAACTGTTAAATTAGAATATAACAGGCGGAAAATAACAGTAATGTGTTGGAAAAAGTTTTTCATCATACGAACTTGCCTCGTTACTGTTAAAACTCTGCCTAACATGTACGTTACGGATAACGTCAACGTTCAATCATAGTACCCAATTTCTGTTGAACATCAAATCGTGACGACACAAGGCAGGTGCATCCATTGACGTGTTCAATCCAATGAAGTGGAGAGGGGTAGAATGATAACTGTCAATGAAAAAGTCTAGACACTATGCACAATTTCGTTTTGCACATTTTGTAAACAAGATTCAGGGACGGTTTAACAACATTTTGTGCAACAACTATAAAATAGTGCAACGGAAAATAATTAACAAGTATAATTCAATACTAAATTGAAATAAAAGCACAAAAAATCACAAATATGCACAAGATAACAAAGAATTGACGCCAAAAAAGCTTACAACAGCCACAAAACAAACAAAAACAGAGCTGAACATGAACATAATCGCTGAACAGAGCCAATCCTGGAATTTGTTTACAGTGCTTTAGGGCAACCTCTCCTTGTCATTTACATGTATAAGAGTGGAAGGTTGAATCACGCATAATTTCTACACTCGTAATGGATGCGCAGACGGTACTTTATCATTCTACCCTCTCTACTTCTTTGGTTCAATCGCTGCAAAGTGCACATTGTTGGGGAGTTGAATTAACAAATTATTCCACAGATAATTTTTAAACTTTCCACTGGTAAACTAGACTTAAAGCAAAGCTTTACATTACCAATGTCATTTTAATCTTCGTTTAGGACTGATTCCACCGTTGTGTTAAACGAAGTTTAAAATGACATTTTTACATTAACAATGTCATTTTAGGACCGATTCCACCGTTGTGTTAAACGGAGTTTAAAATGACATTTTTACATTAACAATGTCATTTTAATCTCCGTTTAACTCGACGGTGGTTCGGACCTTAATCTACGTTTAACACAAGGGTGGAATCGACCCTTAGGACCGATTCCACCGTTGTGTTAAACGAAGTTTAAAATGACATTTTTAAATTAACAATGTCATTTTAATCTCAGTTTAACACAACGGTGGAATCGGCCATTAGTAATTTAGGGTCGATTCCACCGTTGTGTTAAACGGAGATTAAAATGACATTGTTAATGTAAAAATGTCATTTTAATCTCCGTTTAACAAAACGGTGGAATCGGCCCGTAAAATTCTATAACACAACGGTGGAATCGGTCCTTAATGGAAAAATGTCATTTTAAAGCTGCTTTATTTATTAAGTACTAGCGGTGGAATTTTAAAATCCAGAACAAACTTTACAGTTCGCTGCAAATATCAAATTTAAAATATTTGAAATTATTTTGGGAAATTCATTAGCATAGATTTTCGATTTTTGAACGCCTGAAATTGAAATGCGCATGCTCATCTGTCAAGGACATGTAGGCGACAGGCTCCGCGAACAAAGCTATTGATATACAATGTATAAAATACAATTAAGTGTCTCTTGAAAGAAAAGTCGAGCAAGTTTTCTTTTTGGAACCCTAGTCATGTGACAACTAATAAATATGAATTCATAGTCTACTTGTGGAAGGTCTAGACACTTTGAGTTGAGAGATGAATGAGTCAATTGTCAATTGTCAAAATTTTTGGGGTTATGTTAAGATCAAAATGTCACCGAATTTTAAACAATAAAAAATAGTACGTTTATTTTAGTTATTTGCTCCCCAATTGTATAAAAGGACAATTCATTTTTAAATCTACAAACATGGCGTTTAATTTCGGAAGTACTTCTCAACCGGCTTTTGGAAATCAAAATAAAAGTAAGAACCCATTTTTATTATTTTTTGCGAATAAAATTAAGTTTATTATATCAATTTGTATTAGCCTAGGTACATTAAAGAAAAAAGTAAGTTCATACATATCCTCTGTAACAGTAGTAATATATTTGTAATTTTAATTACAAGGAAACATTAAAGTTCCATTTGTTTACAATAATTTGTGTTTACCTCTTGCAATTAATATTTTACAACAAAAATTATAAATTTAAATAGGTAGGTACTTACATTGTTCCCATAAAAATTGAAAAAGATGAACCTGCAGTTGATCATCTCAACTAATGACTGACTGATAACAATGAAGCAATTTGTGTGTGTTTTTTTGTCATTAAATTGTCAACACTATCTCAACAAATATAGAATAGAAAGCCATATGTGTGTAGTTATGAAGTAAAAAATTAATTTAGGTATATTAAGATATATCTGTATTAGAGAATATTACCTCTGTTACAGAGAATGGGCATGGAGGCATGGGTTATTGATGATTACTGATATTGATCAATTCCATCACTCCTAAAAAAAATTAATGGTTTGATTTTAAGTTCAATTGAATAAATTGTATTTAATTAAACAATTTATATAGCCTAAGTTATCTCATTTGCCAAAAATATATAGATACACTTTTAGGTGATTGAAATATCTGATATTATACTGAACATTTCTGTGAAATAGGAAATTTTGTACATACATTATTGTAACTACTATTGATTTAATATATTTAGTTTGAGAGTTATTGTAATTCTCATACAAACATTTTATAGTTTGGTGAAATTGGCTTTTTTTGGAAATTCTAAAAATGGTTAATTTTTATATGTGTATATCAACGACAAGAAACTACTAGACTAATATATTTGTTCATTATTAGGCTCTAATTTAGTGCAAGCATTCAAATTGTGTTTAATATCAGACAGAGCTGTCACATCAGCTGCTGCATTAGAAAGAGCGAGATGGCTGATAATTTGAGTGGGGATGATTGGCTCAAGTTAGTTTATCTGAGGTACAAGCACATGTTTTATGAATAATCAGTAATTTCCGCTACGACACATGCTTTTGTTACCTTCAAAATAAATTGCTTACTTTCCTAGAAATCGACTTTAACTATGACAGTTGCAGCAAGAAATAGAAGTAAACTGATATTAACTGAAATTAAGAATGGAAACATACTTTCTTAATGTAGGTAATTTTTAATACCTTTTGTGCGATTTATGTTAAGTCAATTCTGAATTAAAACCATAAACAACCCTTGGAACAAGACTCTCCCATACTCTCTCATAATAATTTGACAACTATGTAGATGACACTGTGAATGTTTGCAATTCAATTTTTGTAAACAAAATTAGTCTAGTAGTTGTTCGTCATTGATGTATATAATCATATAGTATTCAGAGGCAATTTTTTGTCAGAATACATTAAAATATGCAAAATAATATAAAAATGCAGTTTGCTATGGGGCAATGTGGTCTCATTTGTTTAAAACGAAATTGTTTAAACAATGCATAAAAAATATTTAATAATATAATAATAAACATTTTTATCATTAAGGACTGCTTTTTAATTGTTTTTTATGGGCGTTCGCCTTTAGCGTGCCTATCGTCGACTTAAAGTATTGATGTTTCTCTTCTAGTCACGACCTGCTGTGGCCTATCTACATTCTAATCTATTATCTATTATTTATCTACTAAGCTATAGGTTTATGAACAATTTTTAAGAATTTAATATTAATGCTTAATTATTAATACAATTTATAGATTTTTTTTTCTATAATTGATATTTTAAAAGTTATTGATGCTTGAAGTCAAACATAAATAATACTAATCCACCTTTTCCATTATTTGACTATTTCACATTACTCATGAGCAAAAACAGCGCGCGATATTTGAATCTAGTAATTTTCGAAAAAAAAAACTTTTTGCTATCCCTCTCTTATCCACGTCCTACAACTGTTGGACTGGCTACGACGATTACAACCTGTCATCGTTAGTTTAAACCTTAGAACATATTTAGTCAGGAAGGAGCATGCCATGTCCGCGTTAATCTGATCGATCTGACGGAAGTAATATGGATGACTCATCATCATAAATGGTTTCTAAAATTAGTTTATAATTTTAGTGATTAAAATTTGTTAATAATTTGGATGTTTCATATATTAATTTAAACTTTTATCGAGCGTATGTTTTGTAGACATTTTTAAAAAGTGTTTAGTATTTTAGTATTTATTTAGTATTACTATTAATTTTAAATTTTTCGCGTTAAAAGACAAACAAGACAATATGGTCAGTTATCCGTCTTGTGGATATAGCAGCACAGCTAAAAGTAGAAAGGAATAATCTACATTTCATAAGCAAATATTTTGTTCTCTCAATTTTCAACCACATTAAAGATTTTTAAAATTTTTAATGTTTTAAATTTGTAAACAAACATGGTAAGTGCGTCTGCGATCAACTGTGTTCATAGGCTTAGTCTCATGGTTCATAGGGCATACATACTTTTATTTAAACAATTCTTTTATGCAATTTTAAGATATTTATGTGGTTGTTAAAATGAATAAATTATTGTTCAATTTAGATTTATAAATTGATTGCAAGTAAACAATTTTCAGATTTCTTAAAGATTATACATTTACAAATTATATAAATTAATCCCAGGTAGACAATTTTCAGATTTCCTAAAGATTCTCAAAAACAAAATTATGGCTTGAGTTCATGCAACAAACAAATTGTGAGCCAATATTTCTTAATTTTTTGTGTTTACGCCATTTTAAAGCAGATTGTTTTGATTGAACCTCAAAACCAAGAATAAGACTTCTACCAACAGCTGTTCCAACAATAAAAGTGGTCCGGTTGAAGTATATAAGTAAATAAATTCTTTACTAACTATATCATATACAAAAACGAACACAAATAGAATTAATAATATCTTAAGTAAGGAAATAAGTAGCATATCGCATGCCTCAAGATACTGTCTTAGGTTCTATCTTGTTTAATTTTATTTTAAATAATTTGTCGTTTAAATACAGATCGAAATATTGTAAGTTTTTCAGACGACACAATTATTCTGTAAAATGCAGAGAACTGGAATTGATTAAAATTATTAATAGAAACAGATCTTATAAAAATTTTCGAATGGTTTAATTATAAAAACTTACAAACCTTTGACGAAACTTATGTTGTTCCATTATACAGTTACAAAAAGAAGGCCTCTTTCCTATAGAAACAATAAAAGGAAACGTTCAGTGGTTTCATATATGTATTACAAATGATATCAAATACCTTAGAGTACAAATTGACTCTCATCATAACTGGACTAAGCATACAAATAATGCGTTGAATGTACATTTAAAAATAATCTATTTTGCACTCATAGAATCATTATTATGTTATAGGATCCTTTCTTGGAAAGGTGTTTTACCTGTTTATGCAAAATTGTCCTGCAAAAAATATTACTTATAATATTATGTAATAAAACTGGAAAAAGGGGCCGTGTTTTCGTATGTTCTGACGCATTTTCGGCTTTAACCCATCGGTCTCCCCCTCTAATTATATATAAATTTTGCTTAGGCTAACCATACAATTATCTATCCGTGTTTGCTGACTAGGAAAATAAATACCGAAAATCGTCACTGTCTCCTGGACTATACAGTTAGTAGATGATGATGAGGACTTCACAACAAATACAATTTTATCAATGGCTAGTTGGGAATGTGGTCGCGGCTACTTACGCTACTAGCGAACGTGCATAATAAACAATAATTAAAAATCAGTCCTTAATGATGAAAATTTTCAGATTTGCCCCTACGGAGATTGATAAATACATTATAAGGATTAAAAAAAAAATGTTAATTATCATATCAGTTAAATTTATAGATTTATAAGTCATTAAAATTCGTCAAAATTGTGATTTTATAGGACCTTTTTGATTTGTGTTAAAGTAAAGAATATGAAAAAACATTTCTAGTTTACAATGTTTTTTTTTAGGCACTGTTTAACAATTTCGTTTTAAACAAAATGAGATCACATGGCAAACTACATTTATATAATATTTGGCATATATTTAAAGTATCCTGACAAAAAAAAAGCCATTGAATAGTTTTCAACACTCCTAGACCTAGACTAATATTAATAATGAGAGATTATTTTTATGATAAATATATTTTTTGATACGTACCGGAATTCTCACGTTTTAAACATTGATATAGCAGGTTGTGGTTTTAAAGATTATTATTATGATAGGTGTTACTTCCTTTTATAAATATTTTTTTTTATAAAACTACCACTTCGATCATTAAAATAAAGAAGAATACAAGTTATAAAAGTAATTTTGAAAAACCGACTTCAAAATCGTACAGATGCCCTTAGGAATTGAGATTTTTTATTTTCTCATGGATCATCAGATCCTGATCAATTGTATATGGAACTATCCCTGAGGTATTCCCTTTCTAACAAAAAAAGAATCATAGAAAACGGACAACGTATTAAAGAATTAACGCTGAACATATATAAAAAAAATATTCCGAAGAAATGAGAACTTCATTCTGAAGTCTGTTAAAAATGATTATAATTTTGTTCAAATATTATTTTATATAAGTTGGATCTTTATTTATGTTATGGATCAAATTTTTATTTTCAAGAACCAAAATCAAACAAAACGAGTATTGTATAAATATATATATTTGCAAAATATAAATGTAATTAATCAATTAATAGAAAAACAAATGTTTACAATCCTTATATTTTGAATACTAAAAAATGCAACCATTACAAAATAAAATATTTACCAGTTTTATATTATTTTTAGTATGTATATTATTTTAGTTATATTAGGTACCTATATGGTTTTATTCTTGTTTATCTCCTTATTGGAGATACGAGTAGACCAATAGATTTAAATTAAATAAAACAAAAGTACGACACGTACACCTTTTTTTCTTTAAAAAAGTGTGTATAGTAGCTACAGTGAAATTTCCTATGCACGTCATCCATAACAGC